AAAAGCCACAGCTTCCTCCGGGAACAATGGCAGCTCCAATGACGGCAGGAAAATAAATGTGTCCTCACACTGTCTCCATGTCCAATCCCCACTTCCCAGAGTCTGCTGGCCCCGCCTTCTTCCTGCCACACCTCCAGCGCAGTCTGAAGGTTTGAAGCTTCTAACCCCAGAGAGCCCTGCCTGTATCTCCCCTCCCCCTGACCTCATGCATGCTCTCTAAGAGCCATGTTCTAGCCAATTATTCAAGCCTTAGACATATAATCAGATAACTTAAAAGTTAGTTTGTTTCTTTATCCAAGTGTCCATTAAACACATAGCAGCCCACTGAGGGAACAAACAGTACAAACCATGTTTCTCAACCTTTTTCTCATTACCACCTCCCCTGAGGAGTCTTATTAGACATTTTTTCCTAATCACATACCCTTCCCATGAAATTTTAATATCATAAGTAAACTTTATATCTGTTTCTGGGATGTATACACATAAAAATATATACATTTCTTCACCTACCAAGAACCTGTTTTCACCCTCTTGGGGGAGATAAAATCCCCATTGAGAATGTATGATCTTGAAGCATGGAACAATTAAAATAATTCTGCCAGAAGTATTTAACTTCTGCTTCTTTAATACTTAGTGGAATATAAATCACCAGAAACATTATCTTTCCTTTACAGCAGAAATCTGTACTGAAGAGCCCCAGAGAAGCAAAGTCTTAATCTCCTACAATTCCAAAACACAAATCTTCCTGCAATGCCTCCGGCCTCTTCCTTTACCGTACACAAGGAAGTCTACAAAAGAAGCAAGTGTTGCTCTCTGATGAATGCCAACCCCAACAGTGAAGTCCTTCACTCAACCTCAAAGCATCCTGGCTACATAGCAAGGCACCAACAGAGTCGTCCCACTCCCTAAACTAGACCCACGCGCTTACCTCTTGCCGTTTGAAGTTCTGGACATACTCTTCAAACTGTTCATCTTTTGTCTCATCAGCTTTCCCCAGCTTCTGAAGAACCTAGATTGCAAACACAACAAAATGGCTTGATTTAACAATGTTCTCAAATAAAGGCAAAGCAGGACTGCTGTTTTGCTCTTCTGAGGAGCCCTCACTCGGCATAGCTAAATTTTCTGTCCCGGAAGCATGTTGGCTTGATGGCTTTGGAGTGGAACAGACCTGGATTGTAATCTCAATTCTGCCGCTCATAGGCTGTGTGACCTTGAGCAAATGTCACACTGCACTGCATTTATTGATTTACATATGTTTCCTTCAGGAGGCTTTACATAACTTAAAGACAAAGCCAGGACTTATCTGTTTGTCCAAAGCACCTGGCACAATGCTTGATGTGCAATAGGTACACAGTTGTTTGTTACACAGTGAATTGAAGTTATCTGACTGAAGTATTGCCATAGTTCATAGGGATGGTACTAGAATCACTGGAGCCAAGCCCTGGTAAGTTTTCCCCCACCATCTTCTGATAGTCCCTTCAACTCAATAGACCCTTATAGAGACACTGGAGTACCCCAGGCCCCATGCTAAGCACTAGTCATCCAGAAATACAAAGACAAATAAAACCAGACTCCAGCACTTGATCTTAAGAAATGTATAACCCAGTGGAGGAAATTAGGCAGGTTCACAAATAGCAAATCAAATACAATGCATAGTAAACAATGTGAGGAATTTACAAATATTATTAGTAACATCATTATGGCTGAGGTCTTCCAGGAATGCTCTATGGAATTCACTCAAACTGTGCTGGAAATCCCAGCAGACAGGAAGATGGCACATTGCATTCCAGCCAAGGAAGTCACCCAAGCAAAGATCTCTGGGAAAATCATTATTCATTGTGGGACTGGGCAAGAACAGCTCTGTCTTCCTGGAGCCCAGGACTGGGTACCAGGACTAGTTCTTAGAGATAAAGCAGAAAGTTACTTTGGAACAGAGCAGAAGGACCCTGACAGCCACGACGGGGGTCACTATTTAACAGTTCCTAAAACATCAACTTATTCAATGATATACAAACTACATAAACACTGCCTTCTCGAAATACCCACATGCCAGTATTTGATTTGGCATCACCAAATATATTTTTATGAAACATAAACATTTGGCATCAAAACATATACTCACACAAAACGCTTTTTGTGACAAGGCTTAGCATCAGATTATGCTAATTTGTATACTCAAATCAAAGATAGAACCTTGTACAAATTAGGACCTTTTAATGCAGACTCTCAATGCAAAGACAGAGTGACAAAAAACACCTAAACACTTAAGAAGAGATTAAACAAATCACTGGGGTCCTTAATGTGCTGCTGAACTTGTACTTCTTACTGGCTTCCTATGACTGGGCTATTCTACAGCTCAATAGTCAGAGGTTAGGTGGAAGACTTTTGTCAGGAAAAGATGCAAACCATTTCTGTTCAATGGAAAGAATAACCCTAAAGATAATAGTTTATGATCCTATAGGACATTAACCAGTTTTGTAACTAACTCAGATCTTATTCTAAAATCTCTTTATTAAACAGCCCATAAATACTGAACTCCTCAAATATTCTTTCAACCAATTTTAACATCTTACTGTACACCTTGTTAATTAATGAGCTGCATAAAATCTGTGACATGCTTATTTTACATTTATATGAAAATCTTGTCTTGAACTTTTGAGAAACTACACAACAGGGCCAGCTTTGAAATGTTATATAAATACAAAATATTGTTAGTATTATTTCGTTACTATTGTAAAAGAGATAAGGCGAGGCAAAATTTCACAGGCCATGTTCTCAAAAGAAGTAAAATCTAATGACATAGGGATTCTTGGTCTTATTACAAGATCTCTTCCCATCTACTCCCCATAGTATCATTCTAAAATAACTTTAAGAAATAAGCTCTCTTGATTGCTTCTTTCTTCTTTCTACCCTTTTAAAAAAATGCTTATTTTAAAGCTAGGTTTCCCAAATGATCTCTTCACACACACACACACACACACACTCCAAAGGTAATGGGGGAAAGACACCTAGCATTTACCACATGACTTTTTTTTTCCTAACTCTGAAAATATACTAATTCATAACGGTCTCGTTACTCTAGATCAGGTAAGTCATTGAGAAGTGGTAACGCCGCACCTGATGCAGCAGTTCACAAAGGCCAGGAAAGGCTATCAAACTTCTGAGCAAGCAAGCAACAGTCTAATCCTCAGTTCTAGAGCCATTTGCTAGTGAAAAGGACTCTCATCTCAGCCTGTGGGGGAAGAGAGGTAGATGTTTGCTGAGCGCCCACTATGTGCCTCAAACCACAGAGAGCGATTTCCATGTTGCAGTTTTAATCTCTCAGTGCCCCTCTCTGGTTCTTATTTAATCCATACGACAGATGACAAAACAGGCTCATGTAGTTGGTAAGTGGCTTACTGGAGCCCCTCAGGAAAATCCCCTTTCTGAGGTCTGACAGCATTGCCGCCACCCCCACCTAGCCCTTTTCTTTTCCCAGGAAGCAATTGGGAATTATTCATCATCACTATTATACTAGGATTCTCACTCAGAGTCCTGAAGGCTACTGTACTCTAAGAAAGGCCTATCTGTGAGGAGACATGTCCACAGCTGTGGAGGGAAGCTTTCACAGACCCCTGGGCGAAAGTCCGTCACTTAAATTTTAAATGATGAGTCCTTGCTTTCCATTTTCCATAAATTGTGTAGTATAACTAAAGTAGCCCAAACAACAAAAACTGCTCCTAGGTGTACAGAGAGACACAAGAATTCCAACTGGATGCCACCCCAAGCCCACGCTCTCTCTTCCAAGGAAAATAACAAAGGATCCAGAACTCTCTGAGTCTGGCACACCCACATCCTGATGCCAGCTGCTCTGATGGCAGCAGCCACAGAGAAAGGAGGGAAGGTCCGGGACAGAGGCAGGAAGGGACCCTGCCTTCGTTAGGAACTCTGTGCCAGTTGCTACATCAGGGATCTGTGTCCATTATTTCCGTTGATCCCCACGGGAGAATGCTCACCCCTGTTCACAGATGGATGAGCTGAGACTCTGAGAGGTCAAGCAACCTGCCCAAGATCATTCCCTCTGCAAGTAGCAGAACCCAGATCCAGACCCAGTCCTCCCACCCTGCTCCTCGCAGTGCCATCCTCCCAGCAGCAGTACCAAAGCTCTGTGACATGGTCCTGAAATATAAATGCCCAAGTCCCCTGCTCTCTAGATACCACAGGCAGTGTATCCATAACAGGGGCTGCATTATTTGTCTTTATTTCCACCTATCCAATCAGGCCATCAAAAACTTTGGTGATTCTTCTCACCAATAACAGAACTTCCGTTTCTCTTCTTTTCTGCCTGTGCATTTTAAATCTCTTACTTGAGATTAAAGATTCATTTTTCTGGGCCCTCAGATTCTACCATCAGTGCCTCTCTTCTCATTTTCCCACTGTTGCCAAGCTCTCTTTTCTAACATGCCCCTCTGGACATGTGATTTCCCTCCTTCACATCCTACTATGGTTTCTTGAACCAGATCCTAATTTCTCACAAAGGATCCCAAGTCCCATTGCCCTCTCTACATTCTTCTTCCATATCAAGGGAGGCAGCATGCAGCAGAAAGAATAGTGACTGGAGGGCCTGTAAGACACTGAGGCCCTAGTCCCTGGAAAGTTATTTAGAGGTAGAAGGGCAACTATTTGACATGCATGCTGTCACATTGCAACGCCTTTGGAGATCCTGATTTATCACAGCATTCTATCTACCCTGCTGGATCTAGACTTAACCTCAGGATAGTTCTGCACTGAATGAATCTAACTTGGCCTGTGAGTTGAAACCTACTCACAATCCTTACCTTAAGATAAAGTTATGTTTCTCAAGGCTCCGACCTTTCTTTAAGCAGTATTTCATTCCTATATTGACTCTTCCCATCATCCCCACACTACAGAAATCTTTCTCCCATTATTTAATCCTGGAAATTCCCAATCCTCCATGGAGCCTGACCAGTCCAGTCTGAGTTGCAGCATTACTTTCTCCCCATTTAGCCTACCACCAAAACTTCTATAGTTACTGGCTACCCGTTAGTCCATAATAATACCGTGATTGGGCTTTCAGTGCTCAAGGCACTGTTCTAAGGACTTCAGGTGTGTTAACTCATTGCATTCCCACAATAACCCTATAGGGTGGGTGCCATTATACTTATTTTACAGATGAAGAAAACGCAACATTGAATTTAAGGAACTGGCCCAATGGTCACAAAACTAGTCACTGGAAGAATCAAGATTCTAACCCAAGCAAGGATACACCATACCATGACACTTCATACACTTGCCTTGACTTTGTCAATACATTTTATTACATGTGCATGTTGCACTTAGCTTATCTTCAAAGATTAGGTTAGGAGCACATGCTGTAAAGCAGTGGGGGCTCCAAAACTCCTACATAGATGGAGTCAGAGGTGGCAATCCTGTTGAGTAGAGAAAGTTCTCAGGAAATTTCCTAAATGTCTGCCGGCACACATTATTAAATTAGACTGTAGGCTTCTTTGTGAGGACTGGGGGTTGGGGGGTATTGATGGAGATGACAGTGTGGTTTTAAAAGCCTGCCTTCTCCTGCAACCACTTTGGCATGTCTAACAGACCTGAGTTTGAGTCCCTGTTACTACATAGCACTCAGCCTCTCCAAACCTCTCCTCATCTGTAAAATGGAATATAATATATAATATATTACATAATGAGATACAATTTAATGGGATAGAATTACCTACTTTGTAGAATTGCTTCAAATTATCAACAAGAACTCATTTAAAGTATTTAGCAGAGTTCCTATTATATACTAAATGTTTGTTAACTGTTGGCCACTCTTAGTATCATCATCTTGCTTTTATTTGTTTGTATGTAGGCATCATGTCACTACTCAGTGGAACCACACTCCTCAAAGGAATGTGAATCTGGCTAGTGTGCATGTCGAGCACAGGCCCACCTGACTTTGCAGCGTTCACTCTGCTCCACCATCTCTCCTGGCAAGCTCAGCACCAGGAGGTAGAA